CAATCTATTTGAAGTAGAATTACAATGCGAAACAGCAGAAGAAATTAACAATACTCTAGAAAAATGGTTTAATTCGCCATCTTTTACTAAACAAGTCCAATATATACATTTTGAATGTCTCGTTATGTTATTCAGGATTTTTGAAAAGTCAATTTTAACCGATCATTCAATTATTGCATTAGTGAAACTGATTGGAAGTAATTATATAAAAAGGCTGAAGATGAAATATCCACAAATCTTATCATTATGTAAGATATTTTAAAAATATTTATTATTAACAACCCCAAACTAACAACCCCAAAAATATGTCTTTGGGTTGTTAATGTTTATTAAGGAAAATTGTGACCTCCCAGGGTTGGGTCTCCCGAAGGTCGAGAGAATTTCGGGAGACGCACTGGGAGTCCGGTCCCCGAACTTAACTATGAACGATTAAAACAAATCTATCAACAAAATATTTTTATTCAACACAAAATGGGAAAGTTTAGTTGGGAGGGGAGGGAAGAAAAAGCCTTTTCTTTTTTAGCTGTTCGGATGACACAATGAATATTTTTTGGGCTTTTTCTTTTCTTTTATAAAGCCGAGGGAAAGTTGTTCAATAACAGCTGTCAGATCTATAACAATGTTATTAATGATTTACTAATGTTGCGGCGAATATACGAATTAGAAAGTCGTTGAGTAGATCCTTTCTACTTATCCAGCATACCATATATTTTTACAGTTCTTAATTTATATCTTTAACTCAAACATAAATATTTACACTATAAATTCATCGTTTTAAAATTTATTTTTAAAAACTCATTTAGATTTAATTGAAAAATCATTGGAGCCGTCATATCGCTGGAAACTTTACGAGGATATTTTTCTAATAAACGTTCCAGAGGAACAAATACACGAACAATTTGAAATAAATCATTTTACTAAAGAGGAAAATCAAATAAACTCAGCGATTTTAATGAGTAAAATTGAAATTTTTCAAAAAATACTTTTTGGATGTTTAACAAAATATGGTGAAGAAGATGTTTCAGATGATATTAAAGAGTTAAAAGAAGCCTTCAACGAAATAAAAGATGTCACACAATATTATCTTAAAAATTACAATCTAAACTATGTTGTTTATTTTTTGTTTAATTACTACGAATTATTGAATCAAGAAAGGATTAAATTCGTAGACCTGGCAAGGAATGGACGAATATTACAAATTGTTAAAGAAAATTATTTAATAACTACAAATATTGTTGGAAAGATGCAAAATGATCCGTTGATAAATAAACAATTTTTTACTAAAGTTAGAGAAAATCTTAGTAGAGATCATTTAAATTTTATGGAAAAGAAGTTTGAAGATGATGAAAATGTTCCAAAATTATTTAGAAATAAAAGAGGAGCATGTTTTTTATTAATGTTATTTATTCCAAATGATAAACTAAAAACGGTTATGGCAAAATATGCTTTAATAGACAAAGACTGTAAGCTTATTTAAAAAATTATACATGTCGATTAATGGTTTGAATTAGGTACATCGAAGATTTTCTAAGTAAAAATGTCATTTTTTCGGGCAAAATTTTTTTATAGATTAGAAATTATCAAATAACGAAACAAAAAATAATGATTTCGATAAACGAGATCTTTGTCTATCTTCAAAGTTTGGTCTCGAGAAAGCTGATTCACCTAAAGGTGGGATATACAAAAATTTTCGGTTCGGATACTAGTTCCAGAGGTTCAAAATTTTCTGTTAGGTCCGTAGAAAAAAGCGAAGAAATCTGGCTATTGACCTTCCGAAAATTATTAAAATCTAATTGTTAAAATAATTTAGTATTTCTCAATAATGATCATCTAACAAAGAATTATATCGAGGCTCTTACATCAAAAAATCCAGTTATTAAACAAACACGTTTTGTAATGACAAATTTTATTGCATGGTTCAGAACAATAAATTCTAAATTCTATCCGGAATGGAGATACTTGAAAAGGGAGAGTTTGAGAGTGGCTTGGGAGTCATTCGAAACTTTAATATATATAAAATACGAATATCTGTTTGTAATAGCTAAAGATGATGTAAATTCTGAAACTCATAATATATTTCGGATAATGGAAAAGACAAAGATTGAAATTCAATCAAAAATAGCTGAAGAGGTAAAAAATTTATTGCTATGATTTAAATAAAAATATTTTAACTAGACTCAAAACTTATTTAGTTTTTTTGCTTGCAAAGAAATATGTAGTGATAGGTTACTCTCGTGCTTATAAATTTAAAATGAAAGAACATTTTTAAATTTAGAAAATTTTTAAGAAAATTGTTGCTATAGCTATAAAATAGATCTCTAGTAAATACTAGAGACCGGCAAAATCAAACTTCCGGGATCCCGAGTCAGGATTTTTTCTTAAACGATGCCATGACGGGATCCCGAGGGATAAATCCCAAAAAAAGTTCGGATCCCGAATGATCCCGAAAATCAAAAAATCCGGGATTTCATGATCGGGATACCGGAAATCATGGGATCCCGTCCCGCGCCGGTCTCTAGTAAATCTACACTTTCCGTCAAAGTCACCATTTCCCAAATAAGCATACCCTCGAAAGACTAAAAATATTGCATATATAGTTATATTAAAAGATATACGGTATTTAAATTAACAGGAAAAAGGATTAAAAATGAAAGACTATGATAAATATATAGAATTTTTTACTAATTTAAAAACATGCATGACAATTGATGATAAACATAAAGAGGTTTCAGATGGTTTTAAAATTTGGATTAAGAAAGAAAATTACAAAATAATTATGGAATTATTAAACGAAGAAAACAGTAAACTATATGAAAGTGTAATTAAAAGTAGGTTGTGGCATGTTATGGCAATTAATGCCTGAAAAACACAGTTTTCACTTGGTTTGAAAACTTAACAGCGGATTTATATTTGGTTATAATGCATATTTTTGCATATTTCGGACTTTGATGCATAATGCATATTTTAATGCATTTGAGGTTTCTGGTGAAAATATCAAGAAATTTGCCAAAATAATGCCAAAATGTTGTAAATTTTGTGAAAATTTAGGAAAAAATTTGTAAAAATTAACTAAAACTTCACACTCACACCACCACATATCTAAAAATGGCGAACATCGTAAAAATACTTAATTTGTCGAACCATACATTTAAAATAGTAGTAATGATATAAAAATAGGTGATTGAATGTTTTTGACTACAATAATGTAAAATTTTTGTGTATAAAATTTTTCTTGTATATTTTCATGCATATTTTGGTATTCTTTCATGAATATTTTAGTCCATACAACTTTACTAATAACCTTGCTATACCATATAAAATATAATATAACAAACTTTTTAGAATTAGATGAAGGAATGAGTCTAAATGTATTAGAAAATAATTTTAAAAAATTCGTTGATGATGAACATTTGGAAGAAATTATTAGCTTGTTGAAAAGTAATAGGACAAAAATAGATAATAAAAAACAAGATAAGAAAGAAATAAAAAGGTTGAACAAAAAAGAAAAGAAAAGGATCAAAAAAATGGAAGAAGAAAAGAAATTGCAAGAGAAATTGAAGAAAAAGAATGAAGAAGATATTAAAATAGTTGATGAAATGATGAGGAAGAATATGAAAAAACTTAAGAAAATTGAAAAAGATTTAACGAAAATTGATATTTTGGAGGAACAAACAAAAGAAGCAGCTTTAGATAATCAAACATCAATGAAAGATACTAAGGTGAAGTAAGGAGAGTAATCCGATACCGGTAGTACCAAAAAGTACTGGTACGGTAGTACCACGGTAGTACCAAACCGTCCGAACACTAGTAACAATTATTGATACCCATACCTAAATGTTTATTCGATAGGTCAACATTGTTCGTAATTTTAAAATTATGGATAGGAAAGACTAACTAACAAGCTAGGTTTATCACAAAGGTAATAATACAATAGAAATGAGCGAGACTATGCGTTGTGGTGCGACTAGAATAACACTAACACTAGACTAACTATAGACTAACAAACTAACTCCTCGAGTACTAAAAGGCTTTGCCTTTTATAACAAACACGCCACCCTAACAGATAGCAAGGCAAACGTTGGTTTCACTTTTGTATGCATTAAATAAACTAATTTATTATAATTTATAGGTCAACGAAACACAAATAACATCAAAAAATGAGTCTTCAGAATTAATTAATAAGCCAGAAAAAAGTGAACCTGAACAGAGAATAAAGCATTTTATTGAGGATAAAAATTTGTTTGAAATTTTTAATAAATTTAATAAAGGAAAAACTCAAATTTCAAGGAAAGTATTAAATATTTGTATTTTTGCAAATGAGATTGGAAAGCGTTTTGAATTTTTTGAGAAGCTAAAATTAAAAAATAAATTAGTTTTTGATGTTTATTTTGAAGAAGAAAAATTTTTGGAAATTGAAAAGAATTGGAATGAAATTAAAGAAAAATCTTTAGAAAATATTAACGAAAATAAAATTGAAGAAGATTTGAAAATTTTATTAATTTATTTATTCCCCTCATTTGAAAGAAATTTAATTCTAGAAAAAGATTTGGGAAATAAAATGAAAGAAAAATTGTATTTTTATAAAATTTGTGAATATTTCATTTACACAAAGGAGCAAAATATGGATGGAAAATTAACCAAAAATCAGAGAAATTTCGCTCAGGAAATGTTAAATATAACCGAAAAACAATTAAATGGAAGGATTAAGAGTATTGAAATACACATTAATAAATTAATAAAGCTAAAGGAACAAATTGGAATAGGTTAGTAATTTATAGTTCTATTTTATTACATAGTGAAATTTGAATAATATTTTTTTAAATTTAGTAGAAAAAGTCTTTTTAAAAAATCCTAGCCCGAAAACTTCAATCAGTTACTCCACAGTCGGTAGATTCGTCCTAGACTTAGTTTAAGTTATTTATTTCTAACTATCATTGGTCAGTTTGACTTTTAATAAATAATAGTTTTCGTAATATTAAGTTAATGATTTATAAAGTGAAATGTCGGCAGAAAAATTTCTTCATTTTTTAGATAAACAAGAAGATGTTGAAAATTATTTAAATCCAGAAGGATTTCAACCTTTATCATTAAATGAGAGTTACAACGAAACATATAATGAATTAAACATGGGGTCGGATGGTTTTCTCGAATTTAATAAAATTAGCGATCCTATGGAATTGTTAAATGAAAAATACGATGCCAAAACATTAATAAACAATGTATATTTTAATAAAAAAGATGACAAAAATCCAACAGAATTGTTTCAAACTCTTTTTAATAAATGGATAAATTTAACAAAAAATAACAATTTCGGAATATTGATGGCCAGTCCATACAATAAAATAGGAGGACACATACAAGCAATTGTTGTTGCTGTCGGGACAGGAAAAGGAGAGGAAGAAGAAAAAATAAAAGCTAAACAAATATTTAATGGAAAACCAAATACATTTTGTAGACCTCCATTTATGTACAATTGTTCGGATAATTCTCTTTTCTGTTATCTATGCAAGGTATTTTAATAAAGTATATTCATTTGAAGTTCATATTAAATGCTTGACGTTAAAAAGATTTAAAAATATGCGGATAATTTTTAGACTATTATTGTCTCTAATTATTAGTGACCCAAAAATTTGAATATTTTCCATTGCCTTCAAATTTCAATTAATTTTTCAGAGAAGCAGGATAATAGAAAATCTCGAACGTTTATATTTGTCTGAGGAAAACATCCGTTTTGACATCGAAACAACAGATTTTGACATAACGTTAGTAAATAAACCGGAAACTCGTATAGTTCCAACTGATTCTAACTGGATTAAACTTACAAAAGAAGAAAATAGCAAAGAGAGCTTACAAAATTATAAGCTTGCTCAATTTAAAACTTTTGAATTTTTGGAGAATTTAATTAAAAATAGAGACGAAGAAGAGCAAGAAATATTCAATCAAGCATTCATTTATTTAAAAAGATGGGCGAAAGGTTTATCTTTGTAAATTTTATTTTAGGCTATTTTATTCGTGGCGAGACATATGAGGATTTGAATTTTAAAGATCCGACATTTGAGGACGACTTTTGAGGACGGTACCTTTAGATTGATTTTATAGATTTATACGGTATTTGGTAATAGTAGAGATTAATGGTGGAAAATGAGAACAATTGGAGGAACTAAAAGATAGTTATTTCATAAAATATCATAATTAGAATTTACTGTTTAAATATAAGTCGGAAAACAATGTCGCATGCAAATGTAGTAATCCCATACTATTTTTTTGTGTTAATGTTTGAATTAACTCATTCTCATTATAAAAATAGTTAGATAAACAAATAGATTCTTACGAAATGATAATCTACCCAGATAACAGCAAACGGCAATGCAACAACGTACAGAAGCAATTCCATGAGTTCAAAAAACGAGTGCAGTCATTCTCTTTTTCAAAAGTGTTTCTATCGAGAAGAAACACAACTCGATCGGGGGCACTCAATTATTTCAAGAATATCATTCAAAATATTCTTCTAACTTTGTAAATAAGATAGTTTTGCGAAAATGTCCCATCACTGAGATAGGCCTTTAAATGTAAATAAAAATTTAATAAATATTATTTAGATTATTGTGTGTATAACCATCAATTTGGCTTTCTTGATGGAAATTCAATTTCAATAATGTTAACAAAAATATTTTTATTATACCCAGAGGCTAATTTCATTGAACTAGTTGAACGCTTCTTTTTTACATTTGTTACTTGGTTATTATAAATAATTAAAATAAATATAAATTTTTAATTTTAAGGAATTGGCAAATCCCAATTAGAATAAATAAACCAAAAAATGTTCATAACGTTCAACGAAAAGATAAATTAACTATTTACAGTCCAACTTATCCTGAAATAACGCTTTCGTCTAAATTAACACAATCATCTTCAAAAATTATTGTTAATGTTTTGCTAAAAGGTATTTTGAATAAAGCTTAATGTTAGACCCGAACCTTTAAATTGTTTAAGTCCCACTCACCAACCTTGTCTTTCATACCCGTTAATATTTATTAATCATACATTTGTATTTTATTTATTACAACAAAAAAATCTCCGTTCACGTATTCAATATTCGTACTCACGGAAGCATATTTCATTTAAAATTTCATCCCAATGACTATCCCAATCATCATTCATTTAATTCTCCCAAAACGTTGTAATTGTAATAATGATTTAAGGTCTGAACAAGCTTCATGATTTAAAATATTATTCTAAAATTCAAGACAAGATTAACGAATCTAAACAAAAAAATATTGGAAACGGATTCATAAAAATGGTAAATAACTCGAATAAATTTTTATAAAGTTTCTGTTTCAGTACAAAAATTATATTGTAATTTCTTGCATCTCAAAAATGCAAGCTACACAAGAACAATTTTGCCCATTTATTGAATCAAAACTTTATGATGAAATGGAACAATTGCAACAGTTTGGCATAGTTGATTATTGTCATATAGGACTAAAAACCGAAAAATGTGGAAAGAAATTTGATCAAAGGTAGATATTTTATAAAGCTGCTAGCAAATTAAAGTGCTTATGTTTAGGGTTAAGATCTATCAATGATAAGGCATCGAAAGCCTTGGTATATAAATTAGGCTTAGAGAAAATTAAATTGTTTAATGTGGGACCAAGGAGTTTGTATTTAGTATTGTAAAATCTTAGTAATAAATAACCTGTCAATTACTGATCTCGAAATTTTGGAGGGGGGAGGAAATTTGATGAAATTTTGGAGGAATTAGATATTAAACCTCTTGCTAATTATGTTTAATTTAAACGGCTAGATCTCCCGTCAAAATATTTTAAAATAATTAGTTAAAATAAATTAAGAAACAATTTTTGTACATCTTGGCTTTTGGGAATTAAATTTAATAAGAAATTGGATAAACAAATGTCTAAAAATTTGAATGAAAAAGTCGAAAATTTAAAAGAAAAGCTCGTTAACCAGTTTGTATTGAAAAATATTGGGTCAAAAATAGAGGCAAGTAGCCAATTGGAGTTTTTTGCGGTTAAATCAAGCGAAATTAAGAAATGGTATAATTAATTCTTATAATCTAACTTTTCTATTTTAGGGCGTTTATTGAAGATTAATTAGAAGTGAAAAGCAAACTAAAGATGATTCACAAAATAATTTAATCAAAATTTACTCTAAAGATTATACAGGGTGCGGCAAATTTTCCGCCCCTTTTGTTTTCGTCATATCTCGGTTCAAACTCAACAAAATTTGATAATTCTTTTTTTATTTTATTTACAACTCTCTGAGAAAATTTTTAGTATCAAAATCACCTTTAAGTTCTAAGTTTACTCTGAGTAAACTTCTCTCAAAGTTTGAGCAAAATTTTTTGGATAAAAATTGGCCTAGCTTCAAGGCTGAGACTTTGATATTGGAAATGTTTATACCATTCGAATCAGCTCTTCAATCTGATTCGAATGACATCAAAATTAGTGGGCTACGACAAAAATCGAATGAGATATGGCCCTCTGGGCCCGTAGAATAAATTCGGGGTAAGGGTTATTCAACCCCTACCTTGGGGTTAGATAACCCGTAACCCGTAGAATAAATTCAAACCCCTAGCTTCGGGTTAAATGACCGGGTCAGATAACCCGGTTATCTGACCCGCGTAACATTACCGGTAGAATAAATTAATTACCCGGGTTAAATAACCCGCAGGTAAGGGGCAAATTGCAACCCTACTAGGGGGCAGGGTAACATGCGAATTATGCATAATTTCCAAAAAATTAAAACATTTATTAAATTGCAAAATTTTTAAAAATTTTAATTTCTATTCAAAACGCATAAAAAAATTTTTAACAAAAATTTTAATGTTAATTTTTTAACAAAAATTTTTTAACAAAAACTTTTACAAAAATTTTTGAAGCAAAATTTATTCAACAATTAAAAATTTTTTAAACTTTTTCATTTGACTATATCTCTTTTTAATAATAACAATTATTGCGTAAACAATTATTGCGAAATGGATTTGGCAATAAAATATAAAGGGTCAAATAACCCAGTAACTCAACTAGTTAAATAACCTTTAGCTCGGTGTTAAATAACCCTTAACTCGGGGTTGAATTTATTCTACCGATTTTAACCCGTAGCTAAGGGTTATTTGTCCCTGGGTTGTTTAACCGGGTTATTTAACCGGGTTATCCAACCCCGAATTTATTCTACGGGCCCTGGATGATAAATTGCAATAATTTTAGGAAAAATAAAATTTTTAGGTGAAATTTTCAAAAATGAAATTATAAGCTATTTCGATGCGCCTAAACGAGATAAGTCGTTTGGTGCAAAAATCATTCGGATTGGAAGATTTTGGACAAAGTTATGATCAATTTAAATTTGGCAAGAAAAAATGTTTTTTGATGCATTTTTATGTTCGGACCGGCCTAACTTTACCATTTGTGAACTAAATTTCTTCTTTTTGGTACCAAAAATTTTCTTAGAGAGTTGTGAATAAAATAAAAAAAGAATTATTAAGTTTTGTTAAGTTTGAACCGAGTTATGGCAAAAACAAAAGGGGCGGAAAATTTGCCGCACCCTGTATATTGATTTATATAGTTCATAAAGTTAAATATTATAGCTGATATTTTAATTGAGTAAATTTTACAGAGTCTTTTCGAAGACTAGTTCAACGAAATTTTCCACGATTCAGCGGAGCTCAATCAGGCCCGCAGCCAGGATTTTTTTACGTGGGGAGGGGGGGGGGGGGTAGGGTGGAAATTTTGATTTTTAGCGCCTCATGCGAAAATTTTGAAAATTTAGAAGGCCGTAGGCCAAAAAAATTCACTTTTTTTGCCCCAGCCCTTCCCCAAATTTTTCCCTTTTCCCCATTTCGGGGGGGGGGGGGGGGGGAATTCTCCCCCTACCCCCCCCCCTGGCTACGGGCCTGAGCTCAATGATCGATACTTTGCTTAAAAAATTTTTTAATGATAACCACGAAAAGTGTCAGTGTTGTCTGTGTCCAGACCAAAAATTTTTTAAAGTTTATCTAATGAAGCAAAAAATTTAAATAAACATATGGAAATAAATTATATTTTAGTTGAAATGTATAAAATTTACAAGTATTTAAAAAATAAAAATATGGTAAATTAAAAAGCGTATAAATTTTCAAAATTTCAAAACCCTCAACACTCTTCAATTTTAACATTTTGTTTTGTTCGCATTAATTTAAAAATTGTTTTGTTGCAATTCAAATCCCCTAAAAATATATTTAATTTTAATACATTTTTTTCATTTTAAACAAACCAATCTTCAATTTCCTCTTTTAATATAACAAATATTTTCAAATCTTCAGTTACTCTTGTTGCTCCAACACCCTCTTCTATTTCAAATTTCAACATTTCCTTGTTAAAAACTTGGTCTTTAATTTTAATTCCAACAAGCCACGAAGTACAAAAATTTACACTGAAATTCAAAAATATTAAAAAAAATAGTTGATCAGAAATTTGATTAAACTAATTTCAGAGAGATTTAGTTCATAAAGATAAATTTTTAC